GGAAATCGAGCTCCGGCGCACGTTGGTGACCGGAGGGGGGGGGGCATTTTGCACTTTCGTTGCTTCACTAGTTCCGGTTTACAAGTCTCACTCTGGTGAAACCTGTGAACTCTTGTGAAGCTGGAGCAAGCTCGTCAAGCCATCATGGTAAAACCTGTCTATTCGAGAAAAGCTGTCTAGATGGGTCGACATGTCGGCATTTTGCACTTTCGCCACCTCCCGTTGACACGTCGATGGGAGGTGGCGAAGGTGCAAAGTGCCCCCCCCCCGTCGCCCAACAGCGCCTCGAGCTGACACCCCCCTCCCCTGATACGACACCCCCTACCCTAATAGTGGCTTGTTACAACCCCCCTATCTTTTTTACGGTTTCGACTGGTTGTTTTTTTCAGGAAACGTCTTGCCCCTGGGAAAAACGTGAAAAATGAACAAAGTACACCCCCCCTCCTCCTTCTCCAATATACCTACCTACCGGTTTCCTTGATTTTCCCCCAACTCCCCACCCTTTGTACTTTTCCCAGTTTCCGGATTTTCCCGAAAGTTTTCCTACTTTTCCTCAGAATTTTGCTGTCAACCGGGGGCATATATAGCACAAAAGAAAAAGGAAAAATGGGAAAAGTCATCTAGCGGGAAAAATTTTCCCAACACCACAAATTTTTCTCAGAAAGCAGAAGGTAGAGGCACCCCCCCCCTCTCTATAGCGTTTGTGGAACAGGAAAAATCAGCTATCAAAAGGGTTTTCTTAGACCAACTAAGACCATCTTTCCCCTCCCCCAGCGACCAAATACGACCCCCCCCCCTCGCTGGGAGGTCCCCAAGATGATGTGCCTTGATGGGACTGAAGATTTTTGCTCAAGATTAAGAGTATCAGACATCTGACGGCATAATAATGTGGGGTTTTCGGATTTCGTTTGTATCTCAGGAGCTTTATGCATTTACACTCGCATAGGAATGGGTTTGACATGTGGTAGATAAAGCCTGTGCACTACTGGATGCCGTTTGCCGCAGAAGTGTGAAATGAAGTAAATCGGAATTTTCGCTTCAACAGAATGTATATGACCAGTATGATCATAAAAGAGCATTGTGCATGAGAAAGCTCACGATCCGTCGCTTATATCAAGTTCAGTGAACTACAGAAGGATAAATTGTTCTGTAGTTCAAGTCGGACAACGCCTGTGCGACTAATCCGCTTCGTTGCCGTAATCGTTCCGGGCTTCACAAGATTAGATCACTTTCCTAGGTCACGTCTTTATATGACTGGATGGCATAATAAAGTCATCAGAGGAAAAAAAAGCCATTCAGCCATATAGAAGAAATATGACAACGATAGTCATCATGTCAAAATTGCAAATAAGTCGTACTTACGCACCTCATCTCAGATTGCTTCACTTCAGACCACATGTTCTGGGTTCTGGCCTTTTTTTGGTCGTGAAATACTTGATATTTCACAGCCATCGAAACACTAACTGTACGGTCGTCGACGACCTGCTTTCCCTTCTCAACAAATTTGCTGAGTCTATTCAAGAAAATCCGCCTGGATAAAACGCTGGGTTGCTGAGCGAGCTCCTTCTCAATGTCCTCTTCGTTGTTTGAGGCATTTAAATGTTCGTGAACTGAGCGAAAAGGATGACCTGCGTTTTGGCTGTCTCCGTGGACTGTGTTGGGTGCTGCCGAACGGGAGTCAGCCGTTAAGACCACGCGACGTCGCGTGCGCGTCAATGCAAACACCGCTCTCTCGCTTGATATTATAATGCCATTGTCTTCGCCTCTTATTATAGTGCGTTATTAGTGAGTTCATGTATTTGGTAAGACCAACAAAAGGGGTGAAACAGACGAGCGAAATAGCTGAACAGGACTTGAGACAAGTTTGAACGGTATGTTTTGCATCAGAAAGCGTTTGTTAGAGTTTGAGACTTTCACAGGTACATGTTTTTCTATATGTGAGGTTAGTTTGTTACATGTGCACAATTGTTATATTTCTCCTTCAAGCATATGATAGCTGTCATAAGCACGGCATTGTGATAGGTGCTATTTTTTGCTCTCATATTATATTTTCAACTGTTTTATTCGCGTTTCAACTTTTTCGTTGGTCTTGCGAAATACTCGATTTCACTCATCGTACTATAATAAAAAGCGAGCCAATATCATCATAACACTAGGCAAGAACAACATGGTGAATCACCGAATAAACGAAATTGTAGGTCATCGCAACTTGCGCTCCATTGCGAGCACGCGGTATACGCACTGACGCGCACGCAACGCCGCGTGGTCATACCGACACATACCACTGCAACACCCTTATCGAGTCCCTTGAGGGTGTTCTTGACCGCTACAATAGGCTCTCTTCTGTTGGATGGCCTCGTTTACACTCGTTGAAGCTGGCCTGGGAGCCAGTGCAGAAGTCAGTGCGTCAATGCTTTCATTCTGTGGGCGAATCTAGCACCAGTTAGCCTCGTCCACCTTCCCTCCCCCCCCCCTCCATCCCGCAGACTCGGGTGCTCGGGCGGGACCTGAGTCATCCAAGACCTGATCCCAGACCACTTACGTGGTAAGTGGCGCCATTGCCACCACACTACCTCTGCTCTATGAGAATATAAATTTTATTGTGTTGTTGCATTCAGCTTATACTTTTAGCTGGTGCCGTAGTTTCAACCTCACAGACAAGCGTCGAACCTAAAGTCTTGTCGAGTCCAGCTGAAAGCATACTGAATCACGTTACACACGGAGATTTATGCTTTCAATGGAGTAAATGTCGTAGAAGACTTCTGCGATCCTACTGAGCATCATCTTCACTTGATTTGAAAGTTCAGAACTTGGTGAACGGGTTCTGCGGGTGGCCGATCCATAGGAGGCCCCCCATGCGATCGAGATACATTCACGTGGTCCGAGTACTAATTTTTGAACCGTCCGAACCAGTTCAAGCGGTCCTATTAAGCATCGTTCTTTGCTCATATGTTAAGTAATCTCATTCAAAAACGTGGAGATATATAGAGTAAAGGCAGGAAATCAGAGGAGCTTCGGCTGCAGCTACTATATTATTTGAAAGGTGGCACCTCAACTAAGATAAAGGATCGAAGATAGTAAGTCGAAAAATGATGTCTTATTTCATACGCGATTTTTTTCAAAGCCAGAAACATCGCTCCAAAGCGCAATATCTCCCCTTTCCAAAATGCGCTACAGTTTTTCTAAAGACCCGCTAGTTTAGGAGATATTTTTGATGGGTTTTTAATGGGCGAATTTCTGAACCACTCAAATGCTCGACTTCTTGTGTGCCATTGCAAGAATACACATTCGTAGTTCCTAATATGTCTTCAAAACTCATATTTCCGTTATAATGAAAGGAACCATAGTTCGGTTACCATCGATCGATTTGGTCTGAGCGTCTGCTCTCGTGCAGAGGTGGTGCAAAGGCGTAACTTTTTATAGTGAATAATTTTTGTCCATGCAAGCAGATGAGTGCTTTGGGTTCGGAAAGGTCGACACGCACGAACCAGTTTGAAATGCATTGTTTAGTCATCTGCACACTCACCAATTTTTACTACTGTTAATATGTGAGCTAATTACTTCAATACTTCGCATGCGAGTGCTCTACATCACTGTTTCCGCTCCACGAAAACTTAGCAATGACACTTGGGCGGTGTCCAGTGCTCTCAGCGCCTCTCCGTTTGTGACCGTCCCTCCTTAGCGGCAATTCACGACCCCCTTGATGGTTTGGCACAACGATGCTGTTCGGTAGTCAGGCGTCTGAACGCCACCTAGACAGTGGAAGCGAGTCGCTAATGAAAGAAAGAAGGATCTGTTTGATTCAAAGCTGAATGTCACTTTTATATCCGTTTTCCTCTTCGTTTTACTCGACTAAAACTTCCACGTTTCAGAATGAGATGACCTAATAAATCGTATGTTTTGAGCTCCTTCTGCAATCTCATAGTCAGAGTTTAGATTGAGAGCTGAAGGTAAAAACCCACGTTTGTGTCGATTTCAATGAAATAAATTTTGAGAAACGGTAGCAAGGCAACCATAGGTTTCTTGTAGAGTGGAAAATTTCAACAGCATAGAACACTCGAAACAACTCGTTTGTGTAAGAAAAAAAAACATTACTCATGCAACCCAGTACTTCATCTTGAGCTGATGAGTAACCCTGAGCTCTTCAGTTTTCCTGTCAAGGAATCTTCAGTTCTCCTCCCACAACGAAGAAGCTATAAATAGTACGTGATTGTATTCTCCACTTTTCGATGCTGTATCGAGGGCTATCACCCCTTAGTTGTGATTCCTAAATTAAAGTCGTCAATTTACTTGGATTTAAAACTTTTCGTGAAATTTCTATTTTGTTATATTGGACTTAGTTCCGGTATATGGTTTTCTTTCTTTGTGTTTTTTTTATTTTTGTCAAAGTGCAGAGAATTTTACGTATGACCACCTTCTCTGGTGAACGATTATTGAAGGCAAATGGCACGATAACTCCCCAAGACGTGCGGGGTTCGGCGCCCCTGAGCACCCGCTGCGTGGCGCCTCTTCCGAGGGAGGTAGGTTATAGCGCCTTGTCAAGCTGCAACATACCGACCCGGACGCCCACCACAAAAGTCCGACCGATGCTGATACTCATATCGCTTCATTTCTGAAGTAAAATATGAAGGTACTGATATGAAAAGGTTGCGGTGCTGCACGGATATATGAGTATGTGCACGCAGCAGTACCTACCACAGGGTCATTGGCACGATGCCAACGGGGAACTCGTCTAAAATCGCTTTCAGAGTCGTGTGGAAGGAGACTTTTCCGCAGGTTTTTGACCAATTCACCTCGCTTTTTTTCGCCATTTTCCCCACAATATAGCACCCCTGCTGCCATTTTGGACCGAGTGCTGAATTATCGTGCCTTGTGCCGTTTAGCGGACATTGGCATGGCAAAGTAAAAGAAGTTAATAATCAGCATTCTTCATTACATTCGGTGTCGTTGTATCATCATTACCACAACGAACATCCATTGCATATTTCTGCTTACAGAAAATGCCATGCTCACGAGAGGTTGAGGTGGCTCTGAGATACCTCCAGCAAGTGGTCTCCTCGCAGAGCCCGCATTTGATATTAAGTAAGTTTCAGAACTTTCTATATTCCATTAGTATGTTAACAAAGTAATCATTCGAGTGCGTATACGCTGTTCATCAGCTCTCAAATTCACCAAATTAGTTGGAGTCTTTCGCTGAAAATCTCTTGATCAGGACGCAAAAAGATTGTTTAGAAAGCTTTAAAAGTCCACTTGACTACTGTGAATATTTTTTTTTAGTTTGACTGCAAGCGAGCCACTGATCAGGGCACATCATTGGTTGGGGATTTTAGTCGAGTCCGTATAACCCCCTTTTTTTTGGGGGGGGGGGTTGGTACGACGCCTCCGCCCCCTGTCGCTCCTCATCGAATCGAGCCGTCGAGCGGGAGAGGAAGGGGTGGGGGGAGGGAGGGCATATAGTACGCATGAAACAGGAAAATCACGAAAAGTCAACCACCACTCCCACCACTCCTAGAAAGGCCAAAAAGTAAATACGACCCCCCCTTCACAACGTTCGTGAAGCGAGAAAAATCAAACCTATCAAAATAAATTTTTCTCGGCCCAAACACGAGCCCTACCCCCCCCCCCATTGGAGATTCCCCAACAACGATGTGCCCTGCCACTTAGGTATGTAAGGTCCGAAGAGCGCGGTTGGTGATGCAGAACCTCCATAACTTTTCCTTTGACACGTTAACGACGCGCAGGTTCTTCCTTTCTCGGCCGCATCCAAGTCTTCCACATCTCAGGAATTTCGAGTAAAATTCACATGCGAGTTCGTACTCGAGATTGGATGCGATTTCGGACAAATTGAACACTAAGCAACGCAATGAGCAAGAACGATCAACAAGAAGAGTTCTTCGAAACATTGGTTTTCCACGGATAAAAAATCCGATTCAAAAAAGATACCAGCTAATCTGGTACCTAAAACTAGTGGTACCAACTAGTCACTGTTTCCGTGTAGAAACGACATTTGTTTCTGCTTACAGATAGTGCAACTGCTGTTCTCGATGCAGTCTCCGTTAACTGTGACAACAAGGATAGGCGACTCCAGGTCATAATCGGATTAAAATTAGATCATCAAATTCCAGACCGCTCGTATTTTTACATCATTATCTCGTCGATATAATTAGCCCAACTGTTTCCAGAATGCACTTGTACAACTTTTGCGATGCACTGATCAAGACTGTATACAGCCGGATGCAAAACCAAAAACGCAAGAAATTCGCGACGCCGTCGAGCAGCTCTCACAGGTGCAGTTTGTATCACCGCGACCTGTCAGGTCGCAATCAGCGGTTCCCACCTGCGGCCTTCCCACCAGTGGCTGATTCCTTCCTACATCGATCATTGCTCGATCACCATTGGTAGCAAGGCGGCGGACGCGAGCTCGTGCCGCGCTGCGCTCCCCGCCCTGACAACTTTACAGACTATATCATGATGAGGCGTTTCTGACTACTTGCCCCACTTTATTGCCTTTCCAAAACATGCAAATGCTTCCAATCTTCACTACTTTCTATGTTATGCTTTCTTATTGTTTTCAATACTTCTTTCAGAAAAAGCACGCTCAGGGATGGAGCACTAACGGCAATCTGTGATCACATTTCTTAGGAATCTTTTCTTTGTCATGTCTTCCCCACCCACCATTTCGGAGACATTTTCCTTACGTTGGAATGACCATTGGAATTTCAAAGCCATGTTCCGCATTCTTCAAAAACTTATGAGTGATTCAACGGTAAATTCCCGAAAACGCTTTCAAAACATTTCAGGCTGTGCGAAGTTGTCCACCAACAACGGACGCTAGTGTTAGTGATGATTATCGAGTACCGCCTACAATTCCGGATATTGAAAAAGATCAAAATCACAAAGGTCCAAGTACACCAAGCACAGAAAACCCTTCGGAAACTTTGGAAGAGGAGCGATCGTTGGACGAATTACTCAACAAGCTCAATTTAAGGTGGTAGTAAGTTCTCAGTGTAAGCGGAAATGGAAATATAAATGGCTATGATTTCAGACAGGTACCAAAGTTTTCTCCAACGTTCCCCGACTTGGACACAGGAGAATCAGACGATGATTATGCGATCACCACGGATGAGCGAAAAGAAGAACGAGAGGAAAAGCACGGGCAAAAGGTCGGAAGGGGGACTTGGACAAGTATTCATAACTGTCGAAATCGGATTTCAGCGTTTATAACCCTAGGGGCATTCGAAGGATTCCTATTTAATGTAGTTGAGGACTTTTGGAGGAGGGGAACTCTGGGAATGGCGGAGTATGGAATTCCAGTATTGGCATTCTTCAAAGTCATACCATTTAGAAAAATGGAAGATTATACCATTTTCACTTCGAATGGGACATTTTTCAAACCAAATCAGACACTTTTCAGACCAAATCGGACACATTGAAATCGGGTCGGGCACAGCCCTTACGATGGGCATTTGATAACAAATCACACTAGGTATCGTTGCAAGCCCCTTCCCAACATTTCCGCCCACATCTCAGCGATGGTCTTGCAAAATGTTATATGAATTATGTTTTCGACTTTTTTGCACTTTGCTATTTGGCACACACACTTCAGCTGAAAACGATTGGTACCAACACAGATATGACCCCGCCCATTTTTCAATGAATTTACTGCAAGCTTTGAATTTCTACAGCTTTTTTGGCTCATTAGAATCAGATCATCTGCTGCCAAAAACGTGTGTGCTATTATGAAAAGGTTGAGGACGAACAGCATGGTGACTCATTTTTGAGGTGTATCAACAAGGAAGGGAATAAACCCTGCTGAAATAGTTACTGTAATCCACTGCCGGTTCGTGTGCGTGACGGGTTTGGAACGTTTTGCAGAGGATGGTCGATAGAATGAGGTGTTCCCTGAATGATATTCAGTAACACCATGGTCATGACGGGTAAACACCACGAACTCTCCCTCTTTGTCTTTGACGGACAGCCTTATGGTACGAAAACATACTGGATCTCGCAATCGCTCAGATCCAACTACTTGCTCCCGGATGCGGTTTGATGGCCTGCAATGCTTTTGAAACTTTTTAGGCACTTTAAATATATCATCAGCGAAGATGTGGAAGCTGGCATCTTGACTTTAGGCGGATACTTTCGAAAAACCATTAACTCGCTACAAAATCATTTTTGATTACTTCAGTTATGCGAGGAAGAAGTCCAAAAAATGCCGGATGGTACGGAGTTCCGTGTAAAGAAAACTCGAACAGTCAATGTACAGCAAAGCCGGAAACATGTGAGTCGTACTTGCTTTCATAGTTATCGTATAGAACTTCAACTTATCATGGATAATGACACAAAACGCTTTGGTCATGTCGCTCACATTTGGAAGTCAACACGATAACACATTAAAGCCTATGTAAATAGTGGGCGCAAAGGGCAGAAGAAGAGGTGTGGATGACCTATCCGTGAAGAAGAAAGCCGGAGGAAACGTCCCGAGTGAGACTTTGGTATTTGTTGCCTTGCAGACAAGAAAGACAACACCTACCAGCGCGATTGTGTTGAATCGAGCCTCGGTGGAGTAATCTTGCACTTTAATGCTCGAAACTAGCATAGTGCTGACCATTGCGATTCACACTATTCTTCCCCGCGCAGGGCTTTCATGCTTATGGGCTATCGTGCGATCTGCCTCCACCACTGAGCTTCCGTGGCGAGGACAATGTTTGAATTGGTTAGTCTACAGCGTCATTAACAAAAGCGCTTGGAGTCGATCGATGCTTTCCTGCGATGCGCCATGCATTGAACTTCGGTTGGAATAGCGTTTTGGATACGCATTATTCTACCCATTGCCATGTCGGTGCCATTCGATAATGCTACATTTGACTCTCAATATACCTCGGCTTTGTTCTGAGCACTCTGGGTGGGTAATGACCTTCATATCATCATAGTACTTTCACAAAATACTAAGTTATGGGCAAAAGTCGTTGACATAAGGTAGGGCTCGGGCCCGCAGATTACGCTAAAGGATGATTCCACTTAGAGACAGTCCCAGCGCCGCTATAATTTGTATACAAAAGTGAACTCAATTGGCGTTTTTGACGTCTCCGTACATAGTTGTCCCGTCCACCGAAATTCAAGCTCAACTTCTGATCGGAGCTCAGCTTTTACCCGTGTTCTGGTGTTCGTGTTTCTTCCTGACTGCTAGATAGCATTGAAAGAAACTGTGACATGACACGAAGAAACTATTTTTGGACCCAGAGGTGACTATCGCTTTCAGAGGCATAAAACCAACAAGTACGGGAAACTCGTCAGATCCTTACCTAAATTGTTCTCCATTGTTCTTCTGTGTTGGCTGGGTCATAGTGTCTTCTACGTTCTGAAAGTGAACTTTTTGAAAATTACAGAATGGATGCAAAGAAAATGTTGGTTGTAGAATGATTGCTGTGGTGAATTTCCCTTTTCTAGGTGACGATATCCAGTCGAGGATCAGGTTGTCCAGGTGTCACACGCCATTTTACTGACGGTAAAAGTGCGATGCAAGAGGACGAAGAGGAAGAACAAGACGACTTTCTCAGACGTCCATTTGATGGGTACGTGAACTAAAAACATTCGATTGTGAGAGTAAGCGTTGAGTGGTTTTGCGTAGTGATTCGCCTCTGTTGCAGTTACTATTTTTGAAACTGGAGTTAGTATAATTTTTTATAATAGTAATTTCAGTATAATTTCTGTTCCCGAATTTCAGAATCCGAAGAAGGAGGCCCTCAAGAGAACTGGAATTCACTGATAGTCCTACGCCAGGTTTGGTTGGAATTTTGTTTTCGTGTCTTTCTTGTCGAGCATATCTCGGGTTCTCGCAAACTGCTATGGTTTTCTTCTGTCTGTCGTTTTGCTTATCTTTTTGAATTCCTCGATCCTTTTTCCAAATGGCTTCGACTAGATCCATGACGTTGGTCCCAG